AATACAAGTAATGTGTATGTATTGCATGTATGGGTGGTTTAGGGCCTACATCTCAATGTTCTAAATGATATGAACAGCTGAACAAACATTTTGTAAAGTTTTTAATGAGATATATAGAGAAGTTTTTTGCTTATTATAGGGAAAGCATTAATTAGCAATACATTAATTATATGCACAAAACATATTCAGGAATTCCGGGTCTATTAGTCATGAATTCATTGATTCCTTACATACAGTATATAAAAATTATTTTATAATTATATTTCACGAGTAGTTTATAACTAATTAGTAATTAATTAAAAATGAAAACTATTTATTCAAAACAGACGAGCGTTCACTAAGGGAGCGAAGGGAACGCCGTTTATTAAACCTAATCCAAGCGCAGGAGAACCAACAGCGCCGGCAGTCATACATCCGGAACCTGTGTTACCATCAGTACGGATGGCGTCCATTAAACGACACGACCTTCGAGTCGATGATCTCCTCCATCACCACACACTTGGATCACCTGATCGTCGACGACACCAATCGATTGATATACTGTTTCGTACCGAAAGTCGCGTCAACCAACTGGAAACGAGTGCTACTGGCGCTCAACACTCACACCCAATCACCCGACCCGCTCACCATCAAAGGCAATGAGAGTCATGTGATGTCACCGGCGTTTAAGACACTCAACCAATACAACTCTACCGAAGATATAGCCGTAAGACTGCGCCTGTATCTCAAATTCATGTTTGTGAGGCACCCCTACGAGCGCCTACTGTCCGCTTATCGGAACAAATTCGAGCGAACCTACTCTGACTACTTCCGACTGCGGTTCGGTAGGAAAATCGTGCGCCAGTTCCGCTCCCAGCCCTCCAACGAGTCGCTGGATATGGGACACGACGTCACTTTCGAGGAATTCCTACGATATGTCACTGAATTGAATACAACGGATCACAAGAGGGAGTTCAACGAGCACTGGAGGCCGGCCTACGATCTCTGCCATCCCTGTGCTATCGATTACGACGTGTACGGCAAGTATGAGACACTTCATAGCGATGTACAGCTGGTGCTAAGGCGGGCCGGCATTCAAAAGACAGTGGAGTTCCCGAAACGGGAGGACACGTATAGCAATCAGCCGTCCAGTGATCTGATCCATAGTTATTACGGCAATGTGTCGGACCTATTGGTCGATAAAGTGGCCGATATTTATGCCGAAGACATTCAACTGTTTCAATACGACAGAGGAATTGGTGGCAAAGATATTGAGAACTAAATTGTAATTAATTTTGTTGTTTAGGCTATAGTTTTATAGGAGTTTCTAATCAATTAAATGCTATATTTTTGTCCACTTCTTAAAAATAGACTTTTAATTAATTGTCATTCGCTTTAACTCTAAAATTATTTATTTATTTATTTTTTAATTGAGATTAAAAAGTACTTAAATTTTACTTAATTTTTTATATATAATTATCGTAAATTATTTTCTAGTAATAAAGTATTATTAATTCAATTAATAAATTAAATATTTTATATTTTGTGATTCAATTCAAATACAGTACAATAAAACATTTTTTTATATACAAATCGCTTAAAAATAAGTGAATTTTAAGCATAAATATTAATTTCAAACCCAATTACTGTAAAATATTTTTTAATTATCTATTTTTGCCAACAAATTGTTTAATGACTTAATTATTATAATTAAAAAATGCGAGTCTTTCGGTAACCAATCATAGAAAAAGATATTAACAAAAACAATAAACATTTAAAATAAATTAATAGCATTTATAATACATTAAAATAACTATAAGTTATAGTCTATAACAATAATTATAGCCAACAATTAGTTTAGTTTGAAAGGCACCGTTA